CAACAACGACAACAACAACAACATCATCAGCATCATTGCTTGGGTATCGAACTAAAATCGACCGCCATCGTCTAATGAGGAGACTCAGTCACATGTGAGATCAACGGCCATCTCCTGATGAGGGGGCGGGTTGAAGATGTGAGATCTACGTGCGGATTTAGGATATTGGGATGGGATAAGAAAAAATCAATTGCGAAGTTTGGGGGAGCCGGCTGGAGGAAACGGCTGCGGCTTGCAGCTTGAATCGAGTCTATTTCGCAGCTGGAACTGTGGGTTCTGACAAGAACCCAGGAGACCCGCCAACCAGGCTGGCTGCTTCGGTGGAGCAGTTTGATCCGGGAAGTCTGCGGGAGCGTGTCAAAACCTAGCATCTCCGAGGTCTCTGCTTCCGGCCAGGCACGGGCTGCTGCCGGCTGAGGCACGAGTGGGGCATTCGACGAAAGATATCACCGGCACCATCCTCTCCAGGATCGTCTCCTCTATGGTAGGCACCGTCTCCAGATTGCAATTGCAAATTCGCAGCATGTCCAAGGGCTCATGCAATCTTCTGAAATGGAGCGTGGTGCACCGGGAGGGCAATGACGCTGCAACAGGGGAAGGCACAAGAAGGGGAGGTCGGCAGTTCCATTGCATAAGCCAGTGAGCCGAAGAACTGAAAGTCTCCCACTGCCCTTCGGAAGGCAGCAGAGGTGGCAAACCACACACCGGACCTGCACCAATGAAGAGGAGAGGGGCGTGGCCCAGCGGCTCGATTGCACTTCTCTTACCCAACGCACTGGAAAGTCAGGACTCTGAGCCGCGGAAGTAAGGCGGGAGCAAAGATCAAGGCAGTATTGAGGGCACTTGGGAAGGCAGCCTGTGTCTCAGCAAAGGAAAATTGGGGTTCAAGTTCGGCCCTACACGTACCTTGAAGGGGGGGGAACCTGCGACCCCGCTCAAAGAGACGAAGGCGAGGAGCCAAGCGAAGGCGCTGAAGGGCGAGTTGAACCTCGGCGATGGCAGACGACAGGTCGGCCTCCTCACTGGCCATGCAAAGCGCCGGCACGGAGTCGGAGGTGGTGAGGCCGTGGGGGTCGGGAAGTCGAGGAAAGGCGTTGAAGGGGTTCAAGTCAGAGCGGGTTCGAAAGCAGGGCCCAAAAGGTAATGCCGCAGGCAATACACCGTAAGGGGGGCCAGCGGTGCCGGCATGTAGTGTTCAGGTCGTCTTACCCATTGTAGGTTTTTTTAACAAACCACCATACTGAACCCCTCATTAAAGCATTAAAGCCGCTCCCTTATGAAGCTCTCTTGTTGAACATTTATACTTTAAAGAGGCGTACCATTCCATTAGAATAACAATAAAGAAATGGTTTCCATTCCATTAAAACTACTTCGGGGAAGGGAACGGAGCGGGGAACATGACAATGTTAATAACGAAATGGTTGCCCGCGCCATTATTCTGATTTCACGGGGCGGCGGGGGCCTGGTAAACACTTGTTCAAGTGTCAGTAAGCCCTTGTTAAGCTTCTTGATCAAGCCACTATACGCCAGAACGAAAAACCATATCATTACTCTTTTCGGGAGCGGTAAGCAGAAAGCCCTTAAACGTCATACTAAGCGCTTGTTACCCTATAAAGCTCTGATTCAACCTCAGCAAGCCCACCATAAAAGCTCTTAGGCAGCTTCCTTGTTGATCCCTCAACGCCGTATTAAGCCCGTGTTAAAGCCATATCCATATAAAACCCTGATCAAAGCCATAGTAGTCTCTTGTTAAGCTCTCTTAGAAATTAATCTGGTACGAACAAAACATTACATATTAAAACCTCAACCCTTAGTTAACACCACAGGAAGCCCCTTCTAAGCTTTCTTATCAAGCCCGCATAACACGACAAGATTAAGCCGTCTCAAAAAGGGGGACGAAGCCAGGAAAGTGGGCGGTGCAAATATTCTTACATATGAAATGGTATCCCATTCCATTACTATTTCTCGGCGCGAGAGGTATGCGAAGGGGGACGGAGGAGGAGCAACACAGGGGCGGGGGGAGTTGGGGAGGAGCGGGAGAGGGGCTGGAATTCAAGTTAACGTAGAAAAGAAAAAAGAAGATAGTCCACTTAATGATGACAATAATAAATGTTATTGTTGTTACTACTATAATACCCACAACCATAGTTATAATAACAATAATGATAACAATAATCAGAACTGTTGTTGTTTCTTATTTCCAAAATCATCATGAAATGGTTTCCCAGTCCTTCTTCTTGTTGTGATTTTTACAACTATGATTATTAATATTATTGTTGCTGTTATTTCAAACATTAGTATTGCCATCCTTAATATCACTAGTTGTTCTATGTTAACTGCTCTGGTTATTGTTTTTGTTCTTGCTATTGCTATTGCTCTTGCTTTTGTTCTTGTTCTCTTTGTTGGCGCCGACACAACATACACGCGCAAAACCGACATGTGTTTTTTCCTGCACTTGAAGTGCCTTTCCCATCGGTGCCCTCGTTGTTTCGTGCGTCTGCAGTTTTACGTTTTTGCGACGTCCGGAATCCTCGGTATTTGCGGCGTTTCCTTGACTTCGGGTGCTGAATATATCGAAACTTACGATGGTTCCTCTGTATTTGTTTTCTCCGTTTCGTTTTTCCTTGGTCCATTGCGATGTGAGAAACGGACACCTCCGTCGCGCTCGGTGGGTCTTGGCTGGGGGGGGGTGTGGGGGCGGGATACTTCCGTCATTGAACTTCCTTCGAAAGACCTCATTCGCTTTCTCTTTCGTGTTTTCTTGCCTTCGCATTTCTTCGCCATCGAATAGAAATATACACATAAGCACAAGGGATAGGTGCGGAGGGGGTGGGTCGGTCTGGGCAAGGGGGTGTGATTTCGTCATTGAAGGACATCGACATGCAGTATATATGTACATAAGCAAAGTGTACTTACATGGTCCTTGCGTGTTTGCCTTTTGTTGGCGCCACTATAGAGGTTTGTGCTGCTGTACTCTGTGGATGCCAAGCGCTCCCGGGGTTGTAATCTTTGCCGGGCTAGAACGTTTGACTCTTTACTACTGTTATGTGACATCTACCCGGAGACCAGTGTGTAGAAACAGACAAAACCAACCAAACATAACTTCCGCTCTCATGCTGGCAAACAGAGAAAATCCTGCCAAACGTGTGTAGAAGCAGCGAAAACAAACCCATAATGAATTCCTGCGTAAAGCGATATGCTGTAATCTACAGCATTTTTGTAAAAATAAGCCTACAGATTCAAGATCCGTCCTGGTTGTACAAGCCGTAAAATGTGTCCTGTGAAACATGGCAAGCACAGAAAACCGCGTAAATGGCGATGCGTTCGGCACTTGCCATTCTGTGGAACTCCAAGCGCAGAAAATGCTGACACTACCGAGGTTTTCAGCCGCTGAAGTGTCTGGAACACTGTCAAAAACGATACAATCGGCATGCCTGTGGCGCGCGTTTACGTTATGTCGGCGCGTTGTTGCTGTTGCTTGTTGATTCTTGCTTCTTTGATGTTTCAATCCCGGGAGGGGGAGAAACCAGCGGCCAGCACGAAATACTCTGTGGTGAAATGGTTTTACATTCCATCTTTATGAATTCTGGGGAGAGTGAGAAGGGGTGCGAATGACGGGGTGCTCGGGAGGTTGAGGAGAAAAACAAAATGACAATGAAGCGGTTTGCGATTCCATCCGTATTGTTTATTGCTTCGCGGTAGGTAGCCGTTAATTGAAGCTACATTAATCCTCGTTGAGCTTCCATACTAAGCCGTGTTTAGATCAGACTGGCCCACTAAGCTCCTGTTGAGCTTGCCCTTATTAAGCACGCCACATTAAGCTCTTGTAAAGCTAGCTTGCTTTGGTAACCCATGACTAAAGCCATATTAAACCCTTATAACACCGTATTAAACTCTGATTACAAGTCCTGATTAAGATCATAATAAACCTTTCTTCAAGCCATAACAAGCCCCTATGAAGCCCTCGTGGTAAGCCCTTACGAAACCATATTCCTTATTGAAACCCCGTTAAGCCCTCATTAAGCTTTTCCATTACCCCCGTTAAGGCCATGTTAAACATACTTTAAGACGTTAAGCCAGTACACTAAGCTTTCTAACTAAAGCCGTTGTTAACGCCATACATTGCCATTGTGCATTCATCACACATGCATGTGCGCAGTCCCCGACGGATCACATGTGAACAGGTACGGGCAAAAGCAGGTCTCCTAGAAGCTTCCGGAGTTTACACGACGCTTGCCTCCCCTCAGACTGTCACAAACTGTTCCCAAAGTGCAGCCTTTCTTCGGGCCATTTGCGCTGCCCAGGAGCTGTCACTCACCTCTTCACAGAAACACTGTACGCTTAATACAAACTCTGTTGCCCTGGCCCTGCATCCACCAGCCTCAAGCTTCATCGCCGAAGCTTGGCTCAATTCCCCTGCTTGCTTAGCATTCTTCTCAGACTTGGTCTGCTTTGAGTCCTGCCACGAAGCGCTAACTTCGAGATCTTGGCTATGTACTTGTGCAGACTGACACACCTGGTCTAGCTTGGGACGGCTTCTTCAAAAACAAGTCCTAGAAGCCTGCCCACGTTGGAACCTTTCGACAAAGCCAGGTACAAAAACGCACTTATGGGTTGCAGTCTCCGCCCAGCGACTCATGCCATTAGCGAGGATGACTCATGCCGGAAAAAGGTAGAACAGAATGCCAATATTCTTTTACATGCTTTCCGAGAACTCGAAGTCCTCCGCCGACGTCTTAAACCACAAATCACCCGAACGCCCAAAATACGCTAATAGCTTGTGTTGCAGAGAACCGGCATCCGACAGGTTAGGAGTCTGGGAGCTTTTTGTTACGAGAAGGAAGGTGGAAAGAATTAAGACGAGCCTCGGCTAAATGTGCACTCAGTTACGACAAATTGGTTTGTGAAGGTTGTCTCTTCAAAAGCTGCTTCCAACATCCTTTACGGTCGTGCACGTGTCCTGGGCCGTTCGGCTGCGAGTCTTTGGCGTTTCGCCTTCACGCAGCAACGATGCGCAGTACTTCCGAGCAAACGAAATTTCACATGCTAGCCCGTCCCTCCCGGGCACATGATATGCAGTGAGACCTGTGCAAATCAACCTTCCCCTTTCACCAGCCATGTTGCTGGAACGTGCTGCTCGCCATTTTTCCTGGGCGAGCATGACATGGAAACGAGCGACCAGAGATGTAGTGGGGCCTCTACGTGCTCTTCAACTTCCTCACGGCGTCGCAGGAAATCCTTGGGCAGCCGCAGCAGAACGATCAGACTGTCCACAAATTTCCCTCTGAGCTGAAGACTGGGACATCTTCCGTACATCCCACCTGCTAGCAATAGAAAATGTGGGGGATGCTTCGTCCGTATTCTTAGCATGCCGCAGCCTGCTCGCACCGAGGCAGCTCAAGGCTGGAAAGCGAACTTCTGGCGGGCCTGGTGCAGGATTAGAACGATTCATCTTTCCAACGAGTCGGTCGACGGTTAAAGAAGCGCCTCATTGCAAGCATGAAGCCGATATCGTACTTGCAGGCAGAGCTGTCGTTCGCTGACGCCTCCCAACTACCGCCGGGATGAACATTCGCAGCATGCACGCCAAACCTGCTCCTCCACACCAGCGCAGTGCTTCTCCAGCTCCTTTGATGGCATCAGCTTGCCAAAAAACAGCAACGCTTCCAATGTGGGTTGTTACGTTCTTGGCAGGGGCCGAGTACAGCGGAAAGAGATGGACACGGAGGGGAGAACTTGCAGCTCGGATTGCTGCAGCCATGCATACATGGAAAACGAACACAAACTTTGGTGCATATTGGTGCACAGAAAAATTCCCGATTTTCGTGGTGGACCCTGTCGTGCTCACCTTGTTTCTGCAGGTGCAAGGTTTGGCTCACACCACTTCCCATGTTCGTAGCTTCGTTGGCGAGGTCACAACACCATGTGCTGGCCCCGGGTCTGTCACAATGACACATCAAAAATAAACTACTTGTCCCCATGTGCGTGCGTCTGAACTCACACACGACAAAGGCACAAAGCCAGGCGCACGCAAAGGCCCCGACTTTCTCGGTGGACAAGGTCTTCCAAACCCGTGCAGAGCCAGCGGTGGTTTGACAACGACCGACAGGACCAACATGACGAAGAACAAACTCCAAGCTAACGACGTGTTAGCCCAAATCCTACTACAGGTGCAGTGCCCCTCTTGGTCGAAGCACGAACCCCCTGCTTCGTCGCCCTGGAGTCCGGAGGGGTCCTTGTCGTAACCCTTCATGAGGGCAAACTGCCCGGCGACGTTGTCGATGAAGGCGACACAGTGCGGCAAGAGTCGCTTGGCGAACGCAACCAGTGGCAAGACCTGCATGTGCCAAGATCTCGAGGATGTAGAAAAAGGCACAAACGGTGCGAGGTGCGCCGCCCGAATGACGCCGAAGTCGTAGAAGCCCTGGCTATCGAGGTAGAGCGGTCCCAAGGAAGGTGAAGCACCCTGCAAGGGAAGTGGTGGTGAAGAGTGGGCGGAGAGTCAGCGGTAGCCGACCGGTCTGGCGTGGCAGTGGAGCTGCTCCTGGTCCCATCGTCCCATCGCCCTTTTTCTCACCCACTCCAAGGGCGAGCCGAATCACAGTCGACATCCACCCACCAAGGCGAGGGCGCTGGGCCCACAGACGGCTAACAAGGCCCTGCGCGTGAGGATGCGTGAGGACACGCTCCCCCGCTCGTGGCTGTCGTATGGAGCCGCCACGGTGATGTCGCGGACCTCCCGCAGCATAAACCACACGGCGATGATGAAGACGTCCACGGAATGGTCCGTAGCGGGTCGAAGGCTCGCCGGTCGTGCTGGAATGCTGCCAAGAAATACTCTTTCGCTTCAAGTCCTACTCCTTTAGCAGCTGCACAACCTGATAGATGGTGCAGCGTTCCTTGATCGCCCGACGAAGCCCATTATGGGCATATGTCACTCCATGCCACGATCCTAGATGGAACAACATGCCGCTCCATCGTTATCGTGGGCTGGGGTGCCCCTGAGATCCTGCCCAATGTCAGCCAAGCCAATCACACAGGTTGCGTAGCGTGGTTGATTGCTGTTTAGCCGAGACATCACGGAAAGGATGGAAAACATAGCTTGCAGCTCTCACTGCATTTCACTGCTGCAACCATGCATGCATGGACAACTTTAGTGGTGGATTCGGTCGTACTTTGGTTTTGCAAGTACGAGGTTTGGTGCCCCAAACCCCGTCCCATGGTGTTGCTTGTTCCGCTGGCCAGTGTCACCACAGGATGCACTGGCCGCCGTGTCTGCAACACTGACAGATCCAGAGATCCGGCAAAGCTAGTTAGTGCTGTGTGCAAATGTCTGCACAGACACACAAGGACAGATACTGACTTCTAAACAAATCAAATATGTGTGTTATCGATATACACACTCACAACCCTGGAAAAACGATTTGTCGTAGGGGTTGGGGTTTGTCCACAATCTGAACACAAGCATGCAATCAAGTGGCTTCTGGAGTTGCATGCGCTGTCCGTCCCGCAGCCCCCAAGTCTGCACCTGCCAGTTCGACCATCTGCGCGCGAAAAACAAAGGAACAGAAACTGACCGTGGACCGCAACGACGTTGACGTCGGTGCCCGACTAGCGAGGGAATCCACCAAGAAACTTGACGGGAAAACAATCCGGCTTCCGCCAGGGTTGCCGAAGTTTTTTTCGGTGGGCTTTGCCGGCGAGAAGGAACCCATGTTAAATTTATTTTTGTCGAATCGGTTTTGGTTTGGTTTGGTTCGGCTCGGCACTTCCTGAGATTCGTGTTTGTATATAACTCATTTCTATATATATATATATATATA